ATTTCTGGAGCTCAACCATTAATTACATGAGCTATGTAAGTGTAAAATGAGCAAACTGCATTTTGGTTCACCTCCACTTTTAATTATTTCTTTGCTTAAATGGAAAAAAATTCTTTCCTGGTGTCTTTTCATATACTGTAATTACATATTTTGCTGGGTATTTCATTATTCTCTCAGTGATGAGGAACCCTTATCATTAATGTAGTTATGCACATTAACTAGATTGTATTTTGTTGTGTAATGAATATCTGCTTATTTCATTACAAACAAAGAACACAGTCGAGAGATATTTCAGTAATATGGTTCTTTCACAACAATGTAGAAAGAAAATGTAAGAATTGTACTTTCTGGGATCCACTCTCACTGGATGTGGCAAATTTAAGAATTAATATACTTCATTAACCAGCAAAGAATACTACAGATAAATGTGGTTCTAGAAATCTGTTTAGTACTGTTTTCAGCAATAATCTCAGCTATTATTTCTAATAAAATTTATGAGAAAAAAGTATCACTCCTCAAGAACAACCAGAGAAAATTAAGCAGACTTAAAGCAGGAAGAAGAAACAACTTGCCTAAAAAATTCAACTGAAAAGAGTGTATATTTCACTGGAAAAAAGAACTGCTTATCATATCAATTAGCTTTTTCACAGCACATACCATTAGGGCTATTTTTTATAGCCCAGTAACATAGAAGAGGAAATTTAAAAGCTATTTACAATATGTGATTTGATTAAAAAACCCATCCCACTAACACTTGTCCTGACTTGTCCACCCATTCCTCAGGCTTAATATCAATAATTAATTAATATAAATTATTATATTATCTTATACTAATAAGAGCTCCTCAGACACCAACCTGCATTAGAAACTTGTTACAGTGTAAATCATCATGGGCCTACAAACTCATATGTATGAATTGTTTCACAAAAGCATAGTACAGTTTAGGTTGGAAAAGACCCTGAAGATCACTGAGTCCAACTGTTAACCCAGCACTACTAAGATGACCATTAATCCATGTCCCAAAGCACCACATCTACAAGTCTGTTAAATACTTCCAGAGCCTCAACCATCTCCTTGGGCAGCCCTTCCAATGCTTGACAACCCTTTTGGTAATGAAACTTTTCCTAATACCCAATTAAACCTTCCCTGGTGCAGCTTAAGGCCATTTCCTCTGATCCTATCGCTTGTAACTTACTTCAGGTACTTGTAGAGAGCGATGAGGTCTGCCCTCAGCCTCCTTTTCTCTACACTAAACAACCCCACCTCCCTCAGCTGCTCCTCGTAAGACTTTCTCTCCATTCACCAGCTTCATTGCTCTTCTCTGGATATTCTCCATCGCCTCAATGTCTTTCTTGTAGTGAGGGGCCCAGCACTGAATGCAGGATTTGAGGTGCAGTCTCACTAGTGCTGAGTAAAGGGGAACAATCACCTCCCTGGTCCTGCTGGCCACACTATTGCTGATATAGTCAAGGGTGTTGTTGGCCTTCTTGGCCACCCGGGCACACTGCTGGCTCATGTTCAGCCGCTGTCAACCAGCACCTTCAGGTCCTTTGCCACTGGGCAGCTTTCCAGACACTCTTCCCCAAGCCTGTAGCTCTGCACAGGGTTGTGATCCAAGTGCAGGACCCAGCACTTAACCTTACTGAACCCTTGGCTTTGGCCCATCGATCCAGCCTGTCCACATCCCTCCGCAGAGCCTTCCTACCCTTCAATAGATCAATACTCCCACCCAACTTGGTGTTGCCTGTGAACTTATTGTGGTTGCCCTCAATTCCCTCAACCAGATCATTGATAAAGATATTAAACAGGACTGATCCCAATACTGAGCTCTGGGGAACACCACTCATGACTGTCCGCCAGCTTCATCAACACTCTCTAGGCCTGGCTATCCAGTTTTTTACCCAGGAAACAGTGCATCTGTCCAAGCCATTAGCAGCCAGTTTCTCCAGGAGAATGCTTTGGGAAATGGTGACAAAGGCTTTATTGAAGTACAGGTAGACAACATCTACTAGGTGGATCATCTGGTCATGGAAGATCAAGTCAGTCAAGCAGGACCTGCTTTTCCTAAACCCATGCTGCCTGGGCCTGATGCCCTGTATGTGCCACGTGACGATACTCATAATGATTTGCTCCATGACCTTCTCTGGCATCAGCATCAGGCTGACAGGCCTGTAGTTCCCCCAGATCGTCCTTCCAACCCTTCCTGTATATGGGCATCACATTTGCCAACCTCCAGACAACAAGGACCTCCCCAGTTGTCCAGGACTGCTCATAAATGGTTGAAAGTGGCTCAGTGAGCACTTCCAGCAGCTCCCTCAGTGGAGGAAACGTGGCTGGAGAGCAGCCTGGCAGAAAAGGACCTAGAGTTGCTGTTTTACAGTTGGCTGAGCATGAGCCAGCAGTGTGCCCAGGTGGCCAAGAAGGCCAATGGTATCCTGGCTTGTATCAGGAATAGTGTTGCCAGAAGAACTAGGGCAGTGATCATTCCCCTGTACTCAGCAGAGGTGAGGCCTCAGCACAAATCCTGAGCTTAGTTTTGGGTCCTTTACTTCAAGAAAGACATGGAGGTGCTGAAGTATGGCCAGAGAAGGGCAACTGAGATGGTGAAGAGTCTGGAACACAAGTCCTGTGAGGAGCAGCTGAGGGAGGTGGGCTTGTTTAGCCTGGAGAAAAGGAGGCTGAGGGGAGACCCCATCGCTCTCTAAATTACCTGAAAGGAGGTTGTAGCTAGGAGGGGGTCAATCTTTCCTCCAAGCCAACTCACAACAGGACAAGAGGAAATGGCCTCAAGCTGCGCCAAGAGGGGAACTTCAAGATGGACATCAGGAGGAATTTTTTTCACCGAAAGGCTCGTTAAGAATTGAAAGGGGCTTCCCAGAGAGGTGGTGGAGTCACCATCCCCGAAGTATTCAAGAAATGACTGGACATGGCACTTAGTGCTGTGGTTTAGTTGAGAGATTGGTGTTTGGTTAAAGGTTGTACTTGATGATCTTAGAAGTAATTTCCAACCTTAATGATTCTGTGATTCTATTCTATGATTCTGTGATACTGCTCCCCATCCCTGTCTTCCAGCCCAGGGGGCTGGTACCTGGAGAACAACTGGTCTTACTGTTCAACACTGAGGCAAAGAAGGCATTAGATAAGTCAGCCTTTTCCTCATCCTTGGTCATTATTTCCTCCTGCATCCAATAAAGGATGGAGATTCTACTGAGCACTCCTTTTGTTGCTGATGTATTTACAAAAACATTTTTGTTACCTTTAACAGCAGTATCCAGATTAAGTACTAACTGATCTTTGGGCCTTCTAATTTTTCTCTCTATGTAACTTCATAACATGCTTATAGACCTCCTGGGCTGCCTGCCCCTTCTTCCAGAGGTCATAATCTCTCCTTTCTTCCCTCAGTTCCAGCCAAAGCTCCCTGTCCAGCCAGGCTGATCTCCTTCTCCGCTGGCTCATCTTTCAGCACACAGGGACAGTGATTACTACAGCCTTTGGAACACCATGTTTGGGAAGAAGGATTCATGTTAATTAAGATGTTTTTATACAAAAACATTTGTATAGGCCACTGGTTTCCAAACATACAGCAACTGATAATCCCTTAGTGAAGGATGTTTTTCCTGAATTATTATTAGAGGTTGACTTTACTCTAAGGTAAACATCAGAACATATTTCACAAAACTAAACCCTTGTTTTGCTATTCAGTTAATCTGCATGTCTCCTGTTACAACAAAAAAACAGATAATGAAAAGCCCAAACATTAACCAATGGTTTTGTAACAAACCTGGCAAAATGCCAGGGATTCGCAGCACACAGGTCAGATTATACAGGCTGGGACACAAGTAATGTTAAAAGCAGTCCTAGGTTAGAGTAGAGCACCATCCAGCTTGTTATCCCCTGATGGAAGTGTGTACAAAATAGGGCATGGCTCTGTAATCCATGCAGCCAATTCAGCAATTTGTTGGTTGTGATCATCTTATTTATCAGTAATTGATTGTCTTAAGCTTCAGAAAAACATTCAAGTGATTTCTGATCCCATCTACACTTCTATTTTCTATACCTCTGCATGGCAGCATTTACAACATAAACACACAGAATATCTGTAAAACAAAAGTTTTCTATTTCTTCCTTTTGGTAGCCTTTCAAAAAATTCTTGTTCTTTTCCCTCATTTTCATGACAGATCAAGATTTCATTATTAGATCATGACATATCAGCTTCTAAATTCTTTTTCGTAAAATCCTAATGTACTTTTCCTCTTTTTGCAGAGGTTGTTTCATTAACATCAGTCATTTTTGTTGCAGTTTTCTCTCCCTTTCCCATGCCAGGTGTTCCAAACAGCAAACCTGTGGGCAGGCTCCTTGCTCCCTACCGGCTATTCCAGGAGCCAAGACCTGCACAACTCAGAAGGCTGTTCACAGCCACCACCGCTGGTGGTGGTTTATGCGTGTTTAGCTGCTGCTCTTCCCCATGCACAACCTTCGCGCTTTTCAACACTGGACTTCGCCTGTTATTTCCTACTGATTCCAAAGAATTGGTAGGGTTGGAAGCGGCCTCTGGAGATCACCCAGTCCAACTCCCCTGACAAGGCAACGTCACTCAGAGCAGGTGACACAGGAACGCGTCCACGTGGGTTTGGACTGTCACCACAGTGAGAGACTCCACGACCTTTCTGGGCCGCCTGTTCCCCAGCTCTGCCACGCTCTGTGTAAAATTTCTCCTCACTACTCCGACCTATCAGAACCAGGGAGCAGACAGATTAAGCTTTCTGCCTTCCTGGCCACTGCTCCGGCCATCCCTGACAAGGGAAACAATCGGAGCTCCCTCGGGTGGGACGCCCGCGGCACCGGGGCGGACGGGCCGCGCCGGCCCCGACGCGGGCCCTCGTCTCCCCGCGCTCCCAGCCATCCCCGCCGGCGCCCCGGGCCGAGGAGCGACGAGCGGGAGCAGCGGCGGTCAGGGAGCGGGAGCAGCGCCGTCCATAACGCGCCCCCGCCGCGCTCACCCAAACACACGAACAGCACCGACTTCGCCTCCCCCGCCGCCATCTTCCACACGGGGACCTCGCGGCTGTCGTGCAGTCCGCGCCGCGCTTTACGGCACTGGCCGTTAGGGTCGGCCGCGGGATTCGCCTGCTTGGAGGCGGAAAAAGGGGGCGAAGCGCGAACTGGGACCGGGACCGGCGGGGAGAAGAGGACGAGACGAGGCGGGAGCGGCGGGATGGGACGGGACCGGGCGGGAAGGGAAGGGGAGCGGGCGGTTCGCAGGCGCCCTGGCCCCGCCTGCCTCACCTGCGGCAGGTGAGCGGCTCGGCGGGGCCGCCCCGGCGCCGCCCAGTGAGGCTGCGGCGGCAGGAGAAGAAGCAGCAGCAGTGAGGGGGAGCGGGGGCGCCCGGCCGGGCAGGAGTGAGTACCCGGGAGGCGGGAGTGGGTATCCAGGAAACAGGGGGGCTCCGAGCGGGGGAGCCGCGGAGGGTACGGTGCCGTGCGGGGCCGGCCCGTCCGAAGGCGGACGTACGCGGCCGGCAAGGCTTCGCTTGGCCATCGACTGCCCCTCTCGCCCGATGCTGCAGCCTGTGCTGCGTCCTCCTGGGAGAAATTTAGGAAGCGTCGAATGAGGCTTTGGCCTCGCCAGGCTGCCGGTGAAATTGAGCATACGGGCGCTTCGCTTTAAGGGGAGATCGAGTGTTAGTTTATTTATTTATTTATTTTTGTTATGTTTTATATCTATATATATCTATAATACATATAGATATATATCGACTATGTTATATATTAGATATATATGCATATATTTTATATATTAATATATTATGTATCTATAATACGTATATATACTATATATATTATATATGGTATATATTATATATGTATATATTATATATTAATATGTTTTTTATTTATTTATATTTTTGTTATTTATTTCTGTATACTTTTTTCCTACTGGGTTATCCCGTGTACCTGGCTGGGTTTTGTAACGTCGGGCAGCCACAGCCCCACAGTGGCAGGGTGTGGCTGGGACTGGATTCCTCCACTCTGTTTTTTAAAGGCTTGATTACCTGGTTTTCCCATCAAAACACAGCACTTAGGAGGTTAAATAAAAAATGCCAGATTCTCAATTTTCGTGCCAGATGTGCGCCTTTCAAACAAAAACTGAAGAGCTTATATAATATTTGCTGTGGAATGGAACAAACAGATCATTTTCTTTTACGCGGCTTGAAACACTGTCCTGCATACACATTTTTTAAAATTGTTTATTAATTTTACTTCACAGTGTAAGCGATTGGTATCAGAAGTGTTGTTTCTGTACCCAGTGTTCCCTTGCTCAGGCCCTGCAGTGCTCTGCTGTCCACAGGACTGTCAGCAATGCGGGGTGCTGGAGACAGGCAGGGGTCCGGGCTCTGCTTGGTTATCAGAGGTGGCCTTGGCAAAGGAGACGGGGGGGGGGTGGGAGGGCGCGGGGGGGGAGATGAATCAGTTGTGTCATTCTCAGGTGCAGCTCTGCCATACTGTATAACCAAGCAATGTAGAGTGCCTGTTTGCTGTCAACCGGAGTCCCAGGAGCTGTCGATGTTGGAAGCAGATTCCCCAGCACTATCTTTCTATGCATTTGTGGGGCTGGGAAAGTGAGGGTGTATATAAGAGCGCTTTGAAAAACCATCCCAGTATTTGTATCTGTGTATGTTACACGTAGGTACATGCCTAGCAGTAATTTTGAGACAAAGTATTTCATGGTTCCATGTCTTAGGGAAGGGAGTGGGGAGGATTGTTGTCTTGCATTCTTCACTGAAAGGGTTGTCAAGCTTTGGAACAGGCTTCCCGGGGAGATGGTGGAATCACCATCCCTGGAGGCATTCAAGAAATGACTGGATGTGGCATTTAGTCCCATGGTCTAGTTGACGAAGTGATGATGAGTCAGAGGTTGAACTCAATGATCTCAGGTCTTTTCCATCCTAAATGAGTCTGTGATTCTGTGATTTTCATCCCTCAGTAGTGGAAGAGAGTCACAGTTTGTGCCTTCTTCAGTTAATGTCAACTTCCTACTTTTGCAATGAACCATAGCAGAATTCACTGTTGTTCTTTGCAACGGTTTCTCATCATTAAGAATTAATATTTCTGATGTAATGAACACTTTATATTTTTGAGGGGTTTGAAACAACCATTACATTGCTCTAAAAGAGCCTTTCATGCAGGACTGCTATGACTAGGTGGGAGAGAAACCCTATTGCAAACAAGGTAACCCAAGAGCTGAGGTAGAACTTGGGCTCTTCAAACTCTTGATTAATAAATATCAGACACCTGCACTTTTTACGTTTATTCCTTTTAGTTTGAAGAAATGTTTCTGGTGTGATTAATTGTAGGAATTCATTCATTCTGGGAATTAGTAACTTCTTGGATTTGATGCACGCACATGCGAATTGGGGCATCTACGAAGTGGGGGAAATGTGAGAGTCAGAATGATAGTGACAACTTTACTGACAGGAGTGTCAAATATTTTCTGCAGGAAATATCTGGCATCTGTAATTTTTTAAGGTGGTTAATATATTTTCATGTAGATTATTATGGTAGCATACAGGGGTATTTTGTAGTGCACATCGGGGTTGTAGTCTGTTACATTTTTGTTCTCTCTGTACTTCTGGCCCTGGTGAGAAGATAAACAAGATGTTTGTTTAGGATTTTCATCTAAAAAGAATGACTTTGTTTTAGTTAAAGCTTTTATCTACAAAGATTAATGTACTTGTTTATCTGCTTGGATTGCCTTGAAGTGTATTCTTGGTGATTAAAATAGAGCTAGCAAGCCAAAGCTGGGATACCCTTTGAGATTTTCGCCTTATTCCATGTCTAAATTTCACATATCATACCAACTCTTGTATTAACATGAGAAGAGACAGGTAGAACTGACTTTGTAGCTCTGACTTAGCTTCAGTCATGCTACTTATCTTGCTCGATGGGCAGCACCCCTTTGGTGCCAGCTGTTTACAAATCAAACATAGTACAATAAGTGTATATGAAAGACTTGCTAAAAGGATTTCAGGTACTCAGTTTCCTGCAGGATGGGTGGTAGGATGGATAGTTGTGGTGACATGTTTTGAGCAAAAGTGGGCAATTTTCATAGTAAAAATTCTTGGAAGAGTTCACATGCTAGTCTCAGACAACCCCCAGGATAACTCTGCCTTTGATGCTTGTTCTAGAGCACATCACTGTCTCTATATTATTGGAAATGCTGTTTTCTGGGTATCTTTGTACAAACAGAGCAATTTCTTTCCCATGTCTCTTGTGTTTATCCTTTCTCCTGGAACAAAGGCTTGTAGAACTGTGGACACAGGATTTTAGATATTGTAATTGCTAAAAGTTACAAGGATTTTTGAAGACTTTTAACTACAGGTGTTCCACTGCTCTCTCTCCTGTGCAGTTGAACAGATGTCTGATGTGCTTTTTGGAACAAATCCTCTGTGCCTCAGGCAGTTGGCTACTGTCTTCACCTACCACTGTTTCAGAAATAAGGAGGCAGCACCTAGGTGAAACATCTTGCATAAACAAAGGAAACATATTTTTCTTTAAAATACATTGTTCAGCTTTGTCACTATAATTTTACCCTTATGTATTCCAGCTCTCATCAGAAAAGGATATGAGAGGAAATTCACATTGTCCCTAATTGGAATTTTCTCCAAGCTGACTTCAGTACAAAAACTGCTGGGAACCCAACTTGTCAAATGCTTTTGATAATGCAGGTGACTCTGTGTTACAGGGTGTTTTTTTTCCTTGACTTTTCTCAAGGAAATAGTTAATTCAAAGTGGGACTGAGGGCTGATATCACATGAAGTTACAAAGAGATAAACTTTGTGTTTGAATCAGTTAAGTCCTTTCCTCTTTGTGGAGAAAAGTAATAAAAAGATGCACACAGTGAAACTGGAGCATGTGTTTTTTGCATGTTGTAGGGTTATTTTAGCACTAACAAAATTGATATTCCATGTGAAAAATATTGAGCTCCCATGGTCTAGAAGTGCATACATAATTGGTAGCAAAATTTGAAAAGGCAGTTTGTAAACACTAGAGCTGACCAAAAATCTTGTATGCTTTTAGATACTATACATGACACAGCTAACAGGCATAAATACTTTTATCACATTTCATACAATTTAGTTTGTGTCAGATAGCCTGTGTAGAGGCTAAGCTTATTTTGGCTGTGTTATTTTATTTAGTTATGGCATTTCAAATAAATTTTGCTTTGCTTTCAAAAAGGTCATCAGCTAACATATCAGTTTCTATCTCTGTAAGCCTGGGTTTATAAAATACCTATGCCTAGAGGACAACAGCCTAAAAGCTTAACTTGACCATGAAGAAGTTTACTCCTTTAAAAAAGTCACAGCAGAAAGCCTTAAACCGAAGTTAGGTGCTTACCCTCAGCAAGTTTGCCAATGACGCGAAGCTGAGCAGTGCCATCAAGGATGGGATGCCATCAAGAGCGACCTGGACAAACTTCGGAAGTGGGACCATGAGAACTCAATGACATTCAACAAGTCCAAGTGCAAGGTGCTACACCTGGATCAGGGCAATCCCAGACACAAGTACAGACTGGGAGAAGAACTCAATGAGAGCAGCACTGCTAAGGAGGATTTTCAGACAAATGTGGACCTGTTGAAGCGAATCCAGAGGAGGGCAACAGAGGTGATCAAAGGGATGGAGCACTTGTCCTACAAAGACAGGCTGAGAAAGCTGGGTTTGTTCAGCCTGAAGAAGAGGTCTCCAGGGAGACCTCATTGTGGCCTTCCAGTACTTAAAGAGGGCTTATAAAAAGAGGTTGAGGGACTTTTTACACAGGCAGATAGTGATAGGACAAGGGCTAGTGGTTTTAAACTAAAAGAGGAGAGATTTAAATTAGATGTTAGGAAGAAATTCTTTACTGTGAGGGTGGTGAGACACTGGAACAGCTTGCCCAGAGAAGTTGTGAATGTCCCATCTGTAAAGTGTTTAAGGCCAGACTTTGAGCAACCTGGTCTAGTGGAAGGTGTCTCTGCCCATGGCAGGGGGCTTGGAACAGGATGATCTTTCAGGTTGCTGCCAATGGAAACCATTCAATGATTCTATAATAAAGGCTATTATTCTTTAAAAAAGGTTGCAAGGAGTTATTTGCCTTGGAGTACAGGCTAATGGTAGAAGCAGTGAAAGTGCAGGTTGGGGTGAGGCAGTTTGCTTTAGAGTCACTACAGTTACATGCTTCCAATAATACACGTTTCCTATCTTTACAGGTATTTTGATTTTCGTAACTCATAGTAATATATTTAAAAAAACAATCAAAACACACACACAAAAAAAACCCCTAAAACTCAAACCCACAGACTTTCAGAGATGAGAATAAAGGAAGAAATCTGGTCATCTGCTCTCTATCTCCATTACTTCATTTC